GACTGAATAATATTTTAATGCAGTACTATGACATATGGAGAGTTTTATTTGGTTTGTGTATTCTGAGTGCCAAGAATATTATGCATTTGTATTGAAAATTCATAATTCTCATTTCTTCCAGAAGTAATTAGGTATATATATATATTATCAGTAATTTTGATATTCTTTTTTAAATATTGTACTGAATAATAATGTTTTGTATAAAATTATAATATTCAGTGACTGAAAAGTAGGCTATTGGTATAATAATGAAAAACTCCATCAAATGCTACTGGAGCTTGCATTTGTGTGTTTCTTGGTCATTGTGGTTTAACCACATGTTTTGACAGAATTAGCTATTACTTCCTGAGAGCATTGTACAGAATGAAAAATAGTGCTTCTGAATCAAGAGCACAGCAGTTCTTAGCTTATCGTTCTTTCAGTATAACTCTAACCTACTTTTCACAATTATCTGATATATTGAGACTGCATTTTAAACAAGAAAACGCTTTTAAGAAGACCTTAATAGAGATGTAATAAGTCTTCCCTCTCTCCTCTTTCCCCTTATCCCAATTTAAGTCCTACATCATTTTAGCCATTTCATACATATGATGAAATTAGCTCAACTTCATGAAAGTTTATGCCTCTTAATAATATTTGTTAATCTAGATAAAGTGATATCAGACCACTTCAGATTCTCAGAATTTATGCCACAGCTATTGTGGTGAGAAGGAAAAGAAAAGAGGAAATCTGCTTCAATTTGATAGTGGGTGTGGGGGGCAAATGTTTCCTTTGCTATCTTTATTCTTTTGTCTTACACTATTTTTGTCTTTTTTGTATTTTTTTACTATTAAAAATGATTGTAACAATTGTAAACCACCCAACTAGAGTCGCAGGGAGTCAGTGGCATCTAACTTTCATAGATAATTATTGTTATAGTTGTCGTTATCATTATCATCATCATTATCATCATCATCACCATCATCATTATTATTATTGTTATTATTATTATTATTATCATTATTTCTTTTATTAATTAAACATGAAACTCAGTCAACTAAACTTTTAAAAATGTATCACAAATATTGACTGGCACTGATGGTTGATACAGGTTGCTGCCAGCATCCTAGGTATCAACCAAGTATCTTCTTAAAATGTATGTTGTGGGTACTCTATCTTTTTAATCTTCATTTTTAAGTGCTTTGGTTTTATTGTATTGCAAATAATTGCTGGGGTGCATCCACAGTTTCGTTGTACTTGTACAATGACAATAAAGTTCTTCTAATTCTAATTCTTCTAATTCTGAGTAGCACAGTCTTTTGCAACTCCGCTGGTGCTACAGCAGGAAGCTGCACTTCTTGATGTATTTTGCAAAGTTCTTGGACATGGTACCAAATGCCCAGATGACAATGGGTATCACTGTTACATGTTACATCCATAATTGCATGATTTTGACGGCCAGGTCGCAATATTTCATGATTTTTTCCAGTTCTTTTCCTTTGACTCTGGTGTCTCCTGGTACAGCGATATCAGTAAATTGTACACTTTGGTTTTTGACAACTGTGATATTTTGGTATGTTGTGTTCCAAATGATGATCTGTCTGTATTCAAAAGTCCCACAAATCTTTACCTTCTCCTTTTCAACAACTTTTTCCACTTTATGTTCCCATGACTTCAGATACAGGTAAGTCGTGTTTTTTACATAATGACCAGTGGATTAATTTAGCAACTCGGTCATGTCTAGCTTTGTAATCAGTTTGCGCGATTTTGCTGCACTCAGATATTAAGTTTGAAACAGTTTCAACTTTGTCATTGCAAAGTTGGCAGTTTGGATTGTCAGTGGATTTTTCTATCTTCGCTTTCATGGCATTAGTTTGTAGTGCTTGTTCTTCAGCCAGTATTAAACCTTCCGTTTCTTTCTTGATGGTTCCCATCTTAAGCCATGCCCATGTCAAGTTGTTATCACATTTTCCTTCAATGTTTTTCAAGTGCTGTCCAGGCAAAGCTTTGGTTTTCCATCCATTTAATCTGTCATCCAGTTTATATTCTGCCTTTTTTTTTTATAGTGTTCTCCATTTCACAGCCTGCAGCAATTTTTCTGTACTTTGATTCATATAGTCATTCAAACTTCATTTTTCTTCTTCTACAGTTTGATAGACTTGCAATAGCCTTCTGCCCCCTATTCTTCTTGGCAGGTACAATCTGTCGATATCATTTTGTGGATGTAGAGCATGGTACATATTCAAAAGTTTATGTGTTTTCTGATCCAAATTTTCCAGTTCAGCCAAAGTCCAGTTGATGATTCCAGCTGGGTAGCATATCACTAGAACTGCCCATGTATTAATGGCTTTAATTATGTTTCCAGCATTTAAATATTTTGTGGACCCTCCTGATGTATTCGTTTTGTGTTGACTCTTTGATTTTTCCATTCAAGATATTATCTGCTTCCAATGTGCCTAGGTATTTGTAACTGTCATCCTTTGCTAATGCATTCACTATGCTTTCATTTCTCAGTTCTATTCCTTCTATTTTTTTCCATTTTTCCTCACTGCATGGATAATATAGCACATTTTTCAAGTCCAAAGTTCATTTTGATGTTGCTGCTGAACAGTTGAACTGTGTTGAGTATTGATTTAAGTTCAATGGGGTTTTTCGCATAAATTTTTAAGTCATCCATGTAGCCAACATCTTGCTATGCTGGCTTGAGATTTGGTAGCCCAGTTTTGTGTTTCATAAGATTATTATCAGTGGAATTAATGCGATGTTGAACAGTACTGATGAAAGTGAGTCCCCTTGGAAGATTCCTCATTTGATGTTGGTTATGTTCTTTATTATTCATTATTCTTTATTATTATTCAATATTTATTATCATCATCACCATCTGTTAGGGATATACCCCTAGCAAGATCTGCAGGGCAGTCAGGCAGGCAGGCAAAATGTGTGAGATAAGTGTGTAGCTTACACTCAGTAAACCATACACAGTGCCAATTAAAGTAGTTTTATTCCAGCAAGAGTTAAAGCATAGTCAAAACAGTCCATATATCATACACTTAGTTCAGTCCGTCCAGGGATTATTCATTTGCAAATTCCAATGTCGAAAATGGTCAGTACACTTACAAAATAACAGTCCGGTAATTTATCTCCTCGCAGTAGAGAGAGATATGCAAAACCTCAGAAACTCCTCTCTTCTTTTCTGCAACTCCAGTAATTGCCAGCAAAACGTCAGGGAATCGTCAGCGTCTCATCAGCATCTCTTGCTCCCTCTTATGGTGTTTTCACACCACACCCAAAATACATGCTTTGCATTTAAAGTAACACACACTTTAAACTAAGAATCATAGCTTATATATATATTATCTTACCCAAACTAGTTAGGTGACCAATGTTATACCTAACACCATCATCATCATCAACATCAACAAAACCACTAGATCTGTATCTCTTTACTTCCATCTAGTGGTTGTCCAGAATTTTGCAGTGTAGGTCTCGTAGCTTTAACTTAGTGCATTCTATTGAAGGTAAGCCTTGAAAAGGTAAAGGCATATTGCTCGCCTTATGCCTACTGAGGTTATATTTATAGGCAAGCTAGTCAGAAAAGTAACAGTTGCAGCATTGAGGGTGCTAGCAGAATGAGTCATTGGCATTCATTACTCTCTTGCTACTCTTGGAGACAACTGAATTAAAGTCAATTGATATCAATTTGCCAGAACTACAGTATTTCACATCAGTAGCTATGAGAAGAAGACAGCTATTTGAAAGTATTGTCTACAAGACCTGTGTGCTGCCTTAGGTATTCCTAGTACATATGTATATAGGCAGCATACTGATTTCTTTAAATCAGTCTTGTCAAGGAACCTTAGTCAAACTCTTAGAAGACATCAATATTGCTTGTTCAGGGCAGTAATATATTAAGATAGCTTTGATCGTGACTTTTGAGAAATGCACGTTATCAATTGAATTAATCTGTTCTTTTATTATTACTTAGAATGATAATTGACATATAGCAATATTAGCATTCATATACCACTGTTGTAAGCGCTCACATTTAGATATTATATCCTTTATTCTTCCAGCAGTACACTATTTTAATCTCATATTGTTGTTAGGGGTCTAACTAAGGCTGCTTGATACTACAAATGTGTTCATTGTTAGTTCACTCATGCAGTTTAACACTTTGCCACTTATCTCTCTTGATATTATTTTAAAGTGGTTACATTTAAAATATTGTAAAAAGTAAATTGGTACAGATCCTGTTAAAGTTATTAATGTTTAGACATACAGTATATAATAAAAAATCAGAAGGACTGAAGGGATTTTTATTTGTAACAATTCTTGGATCTCATTCATATTTTTAGCGATCTACTGGGGATGATGTACTTGATGAACACTTAGGTCCCTTCCTATTCTATGAATTGTCCCAAGGCTGTTGAGATTCAGGCAGCTTACAGGTTTATGAATGAGTATGTAAATTAATATTATAAGATTTTATGAATAATGTTGATAAATATGACATGCAGATGGCTCCATATTTGTAATAATGACTAATATTTCATATTAACGCTATAGACTTCTTTGTAAACCAGGGGTGTCAAACTGGATTTCTTTGAGGGCCAGATCAACATTGTAGTTCTCCGTGGGCTGGTGGGGGATGGGGAGTGGAGTGGTGGGGAGATGGAACAGACATCTCCTGCCGCACCCTGTTGGCCAAAATGGGGCTCATTTTCAGTCTCCAGCAGCACTCTCCCATTTCAGCCACACAGAGGCCTTGAAAGACCCCCATGGGGTCTGTTTTTGCCTGGCAGAATGGTGCAGGAAGCCAAAAATGTGTTGGGGGTGCATGCGTCCCTCCCACAGCCCATTTTGGCTGGCAGAGGCTCCGCAGGCAGGTCCTTTGGTATTTCCAGGCCAGCCCCATGGGCCAGATTTAAGCACCCTGCAGGCTAAATCTGGCCTGCAGGTCTTGAGTTTGACACCCCTGTTGAAGACCCATTGGACTGATTGCATTACTGTTTCTCATACAGATATTATTTCCGAAACTGGCATGGGACAAATGACAAGGAGCCAGCCATATATCGCAGTATTCCTCGCTCAGCTGACTCAGAGGACAGATCATATAGGAGTGAACAAGGCAATGCCATCCTGGATAAATCATCATTTGCCTATCTCTTTGAGCAAGTATGGCATTTCTTTTCATAGTTTGTCCATTTGGATTAAGTCTAATATATATCTGGAGTGTTGTGTTAGACTAGATTGTAGTTCAGGAGAAAGTAACTTGACAAAAACTCCACAAAATGTTGGAATGGCAAGACTGCATAAACAAGAATGGTGATCACACAAAATATTGCACAGTGAAAACCAAGCTGTATGAAACAGATTGGTGAATCCGGACACCTATCAATTTAGAGCCAGAAAAGTAAGAAAACTGACCTACATTTTGTACACACAATAAAACTCATATAATCTGATTCTCCCTGAGATAGAGTATTATTTCATATTGTAAATGTGAAGAATACCTATCTTCACACTTGCTAAAATCTAGCCTGTTTCCCCGAAAATAAGACCTATCCCCAAAATAAGCCCTGGCACGCAGCCACCCACCCATTCTGTCTGGTTGCTCATGGTGCCACAGCCATGAGGCAAGGTGGGTGGTAGTGAAGCTACCCCATGCTCCCTGCACCAGCTTATCTCAAGGCCCCTGCAGTCAGGCCATCTATGCACCGACACCTGCCTCATGGCAGCAGCACTAACCATGTGCAGCAGGAGTTTATTTTGCCGCTGGCCTGCTTGCTTCCTTGTGACCACAATGGAGCAGGAGGCTGAGCATCACACTGGTGCTGCAGCTGCGAGGTCAGGCAGGTGGCAGGGCGTGGATAAAAGTTGGGCTGCGGGGGCCCTGAGGTAAGCCGGTGCAGGGCGCATGGGGCACCTCCACCTCCCCACCTCATGTCATGACTGGTGCATTGCTCGGTCTCCTCTGTTGCAACCACGAGCAAGCAGAAGAAGTGGGCTGGCAGCCATGCGGGGTCCTGCTGGATGGGGCTGCTGGAGCTGCCATTGCAAGGCAAGGAGGTGTCGGGGCATGGGTAGGCAGGCTGCGAGGGCCCTAAGCTAAACTGGTGCAGGGTGCGTGGGGCAGTTCTACCCCCCCGCCTCACAGCAGTGGCACTGGTAAACCCCACAGCCTCCTGCCCCTCCACGAGCAAGCAGAAGAAGTGGACCTCCTGTACATGGGGGAGGGGGGGAAATAAACCCCCCAAATAAGCCCTACCGCTTATTTTGCAGCCCAAAAGAAAATAAGACCTGGTCTAATTTTTGGGAAAACACAGGTAGTTCAGTTACTTAGTTCAAGCTTTCATGCAAACAGATGAAAATTATCAGAATTGGATATCAAATATGTGGTCCAACAGTAATGACTTCTAGAGAGCTTTCTTGTTTGTCTTCACTGTTGTGCATCTATTGTTTCTACATATTTAGAAATATGTAGAAAAGGAAATATTCTACATTACTTACCTATTTATCCCCCTGTTCCTTTTCAGGGTAGGATATGATATAGAGTCAATCCAAGAATGTATTACTATTGTTCTGTTGAACATCTCACTACCATTCTCATGGAAATATCTGTAATAGTATTATAGCATTCACCTATCTCAGTTTTATCCTAAAATTTCTGTTAACATTTGTATTCATTTTCTTTGCTCTCTTCTTAACTATTCCTTTGTCTTTGGGCTTCATTCCTAGCATTTTTTTCTCTTTACAGTTATACATTATGCAATCATTCTTATTTTTTTGCAGGAAAGTTTAGTATTTTGTATAACAGAAAATGCTTTGCCTATGTAAAATTGCTATGACAATCTTTGACAATATTTTCGTTCATTCCTCAATAAGAGAACAAGAATAATTCCCAAGGAGATAGATCTCAGATCTACTGTTTTGGAGAATTCCTTTCTTCGTATTATTTTGGATTATTCTTTATTAGGGGAAATATGACTTCATCAATGATATTGTCTCCTTAAAAGACCTTCACACCGAACAGGAAATTCACCAATTTAAAAATGAGAGCCTGGGAATGGCTGTCCTCCACCTGTGTCATCTTGCACTGAAGAAAGGCATTTCTCTTGAGGAAGTAGCAGAAAAAACAAGGTATTGTCATTATTTATGAAACTACATCTTTGTTTAATTAATGTGCTTTTTAGTCATGTGGTCCAAAATTTATTTTTAAAGAATTGTGCATATTATTTATTGAAATAAAAACAGTATCATAAAACTTACATCTGTTGGAACTCTTTAACTTGCACATTGCTACTGATTGGAGTTTTATATGTGTGTGGGCCAATTCAACAATGAGCCTCGTTTCCAGTAATCATTTGATGTTGGGGGAGATTAGATGGAATGTCAGTCTGTGTATCTTACTAATTTTGTCATTTGTTTTACTGAATAAACATATTCATACCTATGAAAGCTGCTTTTGGTACCAGTTTGTCTATGTTCCTTGCAGTTTCAAAGAGTGCATCCCACGGTCCTTTTGCCAACAGATTCAGCAGAACAATTATTTGACCAAGTTCCGCATGAAGAATGTTTTCAAGAAATTCTTGCAGCGTTTCCAGCAGCACACATTGAGCACTGGTAAACTTACAGAACAAGATCTCATGCACAAGTACTTAGCTACTTTGGAAAACTTGGCTCCACGTTTTGGGACTGAGCTGTTTGCAGTTGTTTCACTGGAAACCGTTTCGGATGGTGAGAAGGTGCCACTTTATATCAATGGTGGTCATATGCATTTGGAGAACTCCTATTCCTCTTCTCATGGTAGCAGGCCTGGCACACATGAAGTCTGGGTCACAGGCATTAATGGGATTCAGTGGCGGCCTATCCCTGCTGAGGTAGGATTTTTTGTGGATTTGTCTTCATGTAATTCTGGAGATCTCAGCAAATTATTCCTGAGATACATATAGACGGGCGAGTTGGTTAACAATATCAAAATAGCAGATGTGACCAGGTGATTAATGCCCTTCTTCAACATCCAGTTTAAAAAGACATCTTGATCATATCATCACTTTGACATTCATTAACACACACAAACACATTGATATTCTGGGAAAGCTTAACTTCATTTGTTCCAATTAAAAGTCCAAATTTCTAAAGATTTTGTCAGGAAAACTGGTTCAAATACAACTTGAATCTTAATTAGCATAGAACTCTTAATAACAGCCAAAATCAGTTCAAAATAAAGCTTTAAACAAATGCAATTTAATGTTCACCTAAATTTTTTTTATAAAAGTTAAAGAAAGAAACAAAACAGCCTCTGCATAGATCACACATTTGATGTTGTTGACAGATTATTGAATTCTGGGGTCTATAAGCATCCTTTTCTTTCCATTTGACTTCTGTCTTAATATTCAGGTTGCAGATTTGATAAACTCAAAAAAATGCTTATAAAAGTCTACAAGCATGTTGATAAATGTTTATAAAAGCTAATTTGCTTTTATAAATGCATTATGCTACTGTTCCTGTTTTGAAATATTCCTTCCCCATAATAGGCAGCATGATCACCTACAGTTTTGTTTCTTCATAGCAGAAGTTAATAATTGACATCTTCTAGAAAATGCAGATCCAGTTCACCTTGAGGGCCAAGTTTGTAACGTGGATTATGAAATCCTAAGCTTCTGCAAGTGAAGAATAAATTATTCATTTTTTTCTGCATGGGTATATGCAAGGGGATGGATGTCTTGATTCTACATCTTTGGAAGATGGTATATTAGGGCTAGTTGATAGAAAGAATGTTACACAATTATATTAGAATCACTGCCAAAGAATCCAAAATTTACTTTAAAATTCTTCTTGCAGAAACCACAAAGTCAGCCCCCCAAAAATTATTTTGGGAGGAAAGTCAAGACTAAGGAGCACAAGTCCAAGCAGTCCTACCAACCAGTGGAGCAACGTGAAGCTAAATGGGCACACTTTTGTGATTTTCAAGAGATCACACATATTGTTGTCAAAGATTGCAACATCAGCATCCATCGCCAAGACAATAAGTGTCTGGTAGGTGAAAGTGTGTCCCGCTACTATTTTACAATTTTTGTGTGGAGTTATTACATGTTTTTGATGAATGTTGTAGGTAATTAAAGAACAAAAGATTAATATTGAGAGTTAAATGAAATTCAGATTATTTTTACTATGGTGAAGTTGGTCATTTTTTTATCTATGTTAAATCTGATGGCTCTATATAAGGCAGTAAATGTGATATTAACTGAATTGGGGAGGAGGATGTGTAAGCAAAAATATTGGTAACAAATAGCAACAAATTGTACAGATTCCCTGAATAAAATGTACAGTTTCTAATGGGCTTTTATTTTGACTCTGTAGCTCAGGACTAACAATTGTGCTTTTCCTTTTTTTTAAAAAAAAATAGGATTTGACCCTGTCATCCCATGAAGCTGCTCTCTCCTTGATTTCATTAGTAGATGGTTACTTCAGATTAACAGCTGATTCTAACCATTATCTGTGTCATGAAGTTGCCCCACCACAACTCGTTATGAGCATCCAGAATGGCATACATGGACCCATGCAGTAAGCAATCAAGCCTCCTGTCCTCCATGACCTGGTTTGAAAGGAGGGAGCTTCCACATCATATCTAAAAGTTTTCTTTTCCTAGGGAAGAGTTCATTCTGGCTAAGCTGAAGCGGGAAGGGCAGGAAGACGGCCTGTATGCCCTCCGTTGGAGTGTCCTTGATTTCAATAGATTGATTCTATCAGTACTGAAGAATGGCCAAGTAAGAGATGGGAGAATGGCATAATGGACTTTTTTGATTCTGTAAAGCAGCTTTCCTAAGCTTGTATTCTCCGAATGTATACTTTGCTTTTCAGAAATCCCAGCCAACAAATATTGCTGAGAATTCTGGGATCAAATGTCCATGCCTCTATAGAGTGCAAACTAGAGAAAAGCTACATAAATTTTAGTTTTAATGTTCTGAGGATTTCTTTTAAAGATAAACAAATAATATACATTTTAGCAACTTCCTAGATGTACAGGCAGCATGTTTCTAAAGTAGGAGTGCAAAATCCTCTGTTAATGTATGGTAAATATATGAAATTGCCTTGTAACAAGGCAGGTAATTAGTTTTAATCAAACCCAGAACTATTGACATGGATTCAGAATAACTGTCCAGGCTTTCAGACAGAAGCTTATCTAGCACCATGTAGAAACTTTTGCTTCCGTAAAATATGCTCTATCACTAATATGAACTAAAGAAGTGACAAGCTTTGTCTTGTTTGGGACTCATCAGGCATAGGTAGCCAGAGATCTTTCTGTAAAATTCAAACTCTCTACCAGGAACTGAATTCTATTTCTGTTGAACCGCAGAAAAAGTATGCCTGATAGTTTCCTGAGGAATCCCAAATAGAATGAAAGTGGTCCTGCACTGCCTCTTTGTGGTCAATATAAATAGAAAATACACATTATGTAAAAATAGAGAAATCTACCTCTTCCTCCTGACAGTGAAGTTGGAAGACATGTAAAACTTTGTATGTGAGAGCATAATGTATCGTAGCATCTGTAACTCCCTGATCTGAAAATTTCAGAACAGGAAGGTGGACTATATGTACCATTCTAAAAATAAATGCTATCCACTAAGTTAAACCCTGCAATTATCTATGGAAATGAATTTTTGTTAGAATCATGGTAAGCTGCTTCCAGAACATGCTACTGACTGACTATATAAATAGGTATCCATCTCTTACTTTTTTCCTTACTGTTTTTTTTTCCACCAGAGTACCAGTACCCAAGGTAATGCAAACTATAGACAGTTCCGGATCCAGAGGAAAGGAAATTCCTTTGTACTTGAAGGCTGGGAGCAAGAGTTTCCTAGTGTCCAAGAACTAATGAATGCTCTCAAAGGCTGTACTCTAAAATCTGGAACTGACATCTTCAGTTTGAAGAGATGCTGCCTCCCAAAACCAGGAGGTACAGAGCAAATCAGAATTATCTTTTCCCATTATATAGGCTAAAAGTGAAATTTGTCCAGTGAATAAAATGGATTAGATCATAGTGATGTACTATAGAAAGAAGAGACATCAGCAGTTATAGTATGTTATCCTTAATGTGGATACAGTCTACATTTATATCTTTAGTATATATATCTGCATTTGCCTTGATTCAGCAGATACATTTTTTTAAAATCAACCAAAAACATAATCTTAATCTAGCACCCTATGTATGTGAAAGGAGGAAAGTAAAACTTCTGGTTTTAGATAATTTTTAAATACAGTTTCTCACTTCTGAAAAAATAAATTTCTATAAACTGTAGCTTTAAAATGTCAGATTTTAGGATGAAATTATGGCTAAGATTTACAGAAGTGACTCTCTATTTAGATAGAAGCTATATCTATTAAATTTGAGTTTCTAGCAAGAATTGCCTTTATCTTGCCTTTAGGTTTTATAGTAAGAAAGCATCTAAATTGTTAGGCAAGTAACATAGGCCTCTAAATATGTGCAAAATCTTTAATTTCAAAACAATTTTGATGGTGAAATTCACAAAATATCCTCCTTTGAATATGAAAAGGAATATTTTGATTGCCTATTTATTCTTATCTCATAGGAAAGACACATGCTTGTGTTCTTTTTTTTAGTATAAGCTTCTGTTGAGGTTTATTGTAAGTGTTTTGCTATTTGTTTGTTTGCTTATTCACTGATGTGTTAAATCTGCCAAAAATATTCTCTATGGGATTTATCTCTTTAGAATAGTAACTGCCCTATTGAATATGATCCTTAGCAGAGGAAAGAAGGCAAGCAGTTAGGCAAAAAGCATGCTACAAACGTGTTCCAGTTATATTGTGATTCTTCTTTTGCCTGGCCACTTTTATTAATCACATTAGGGAGACATTCCTGGAATTAGAGGGAAGAAAGTTCACAATACCACGTTCAGAAGCCTTTTCCTTCCCTATCCACAGGATTATTGTGGATAATTGTTCTAAGAACAGATTAAAGATTTGTGTGTGTGTATGTTTGTTGTAGTATGATGATTCTGAGGATGGTTGCGTAGTAGGATAGTTGCATAAAGAACGATGGAGGAAAACGGAAGGGGGGAGAAAGAAAGAAAGGAAGGAAGGAAGAAAGGAAGGAAGGAAGGAAGGAAGGAAGGAGATTAAAACATTATGTCCATTAGCCTGGGAATCCCATGATAAAGTGGAACCTACTAGATGGCCATATGACAATTAATTGAATGTTCTCTTTGCATGTTTTGCCACTATTCTATTTTTTAATTTTGGTGTTTAAATTGGTTATTTTAATGGTTTTATTAGTTTGATGGTTTTGTTGTGTATACTATCAAGAGTAACTATACGAGATGGGCAGCTATACATATGTTATAAATTAATAAATAAAGATAATAATTCTGATAGTAAAGACCTCAAGAAAAAGAATGAAAATATAAATATATAACATACTAGCCTCTATTGTTTTGTAGTGCAGGCATTTAAAATTAAATCTAGCTGATAAAAACTCTTATCAAAATAGATCAGCATGAATACAAGATGTATTTTCTAGAATGGGCATTTCCTAGATTAGGCCAAGTCTTAGAATATTAACTCGATTGTATCCAAGCACAGCCCATAGCTTCATTTGTAATGGTAGTTGGAGGAGAAACTGTGAAATGGTCTAGATTGCCTTGGCAAGCACATATGCTATTAAGGGAGGACAAAGTTGCCAGAACTAGTATCTAGCAAAATGTACTGTTGGACATACTTTCAGGAACAATTTTTATAACATCTGCATTGTACATTTTTAAAATTAAGCGCTGTTTCTAGGAAACATATTTTTCTTGGTAGTATTAAACAATTGCCATCCATGCTAATTATTTTCTGGGAATGAATAAAATTGCTAAATGTTTCCTTATAAATGTTCTGATTTTGTGCTATTGTTTTAGTGTAATTTCTTAATCAGAACTTTTGGACTATTTATGTTCTACAGAGATCTCAGACTTGCTCATCACACGAAAAGTGAAAGACAGCACAAGGCAGATTCTGAATTTAACTCAGCTGAGTTTTCATCAGATTCGGAAGAATGAGATTACACAGGTCAGCAGAGTTGGCTTGTATACATTAGAACCGTGATGACGAACCTATGGCACGCGTGCCACAAGTGGCAAGCAGAGTCATTTGTGCTGGCATGTGCGCCGCAGGCAAACTTACCTCACTATGCATGCGTGCACCTTACAGCTGATTTTTCTGCTAGTTTGAGGCCTTTTCCGGTCTCCCAGAGGTTTTGAAAAAGCTTCTGCAAGGCTTTTCAGGATGAATAGGCCCATTTCGTCACTTCCTGTAATATTGGAAGTGATGAAATGGGCATGTTATTTGGCCTGAAAAGCCTTACAAAGGCTTTTTCCAAGAATCTGGGAGGCCGAAAAAGGCCTCAAACCAGCCAAAAAATCAGCTGTGAGGCGCAATGCAGGTAAGGGGTGGTGATTGCGTGTGCATGCAAGTGGGAGGAGTGGGGGGGCATGCATTGCATTCTGGGTGCTGGCACGACTGCGTGCGCGCACTAATGCATGTGCAATTTTTGGCACAGAAGCCCAAAAAGGTTAGCCACCACTGCATCAGAAGATAAAAGCTGCATTTGTAAGGGTCAGCCAAAATGGATCTAGCATTATTTGCTAGTTTCAGAAGTAATATCAACAAATACAAATTATGGCTTAGATTACTAATAGATCCAATTTACTTTTATTTCTGGGGCTTTGGAAGGAGACTTTGAGTAAAGATTTGGGTAAAGCAAGATGAATGCTTGACAATGGAGATTTCTATCTTGTTTTTAAAAAAACCTTTGGCAGACACAGGTAGGATTTTGAATTTATTGTTTTTCAAATAATTATGAATCAGTTCTGGCTCAGTGTGGAATTGAAAGATTGAGTAGCCTTTTTGTTGCAAGGGAAAGTGGTTTAACTAACACTGGTGAATTGTTCTCCATCAGAGAGCACACTTGGGACAAGGAACACGAACCAATATTTATGATGGTGTACTTCATGTATGCAGTGGGATGAACAGTGATGATGAGGCAGAGTATTTTTCTACTGAGCAGAATAACAATAGCCGTGAGATGCATGTGGTACTCAAGATGTTGGACCCAAGTCATAGAGACATTGCTCTGGTGAGTAGACATATAGACATACATGTTAGGAGTGGGGCTTTAGTAAATTAGAAAAAACAACTTTGGCAGAGAAATATCATCAGCTGGCGAGACAAATCCTCCTGCCATTCGACGTGCCATCTTGATGGGAAGGGGAGCAGGACATTAGTAAATCTTGTGGGAATATTGTATTCTATTTATCTGCTATCTGCTGAAGAGCAATGTTTAATGCTCTTCAGTGCTAAAGAGCAATGCTCCAAAGACTGTTAGCATTGAGCATTGTGGGAAATGCCTGAATCAGGCATTTCTAACATCTTATTCCCTTATACTTAAACTCTTATGTCTGTAAATGATATATAATATTGTTTTAAAAATAAGGAGAAATAAAATTACATCTGAACAAGGACTCGAGAAAGTTTTTTTTTTGTTAGGAAAGCTTATTTAGCCTATCTTTTAAAATGAACCTATTGTTCTTGTGGCGAAAAACAAAATAATAAGGAATTAACTATTGCTTTATAACAACAGATGCTCCATCTTTAGGCTGAGAACTAATTGGTACTTTAGGAGCCCATGGCTGGATTAGACTGCTCTTGCTATGTTCCTTGGACAGTGATCTGGATGTCACGCCTTTCCTTTCTTCTCTGCAGGCATTCTTTGAAACAGCCAGCCTGATGAGCCAGGTGTCCCATATCCACTTAGCCTTTGTTCATGGGGTTTGTGTATGGGGTTCAGAGAGTGAGTATTAATTGTATCCTTTGCAAGGTCCATACATGTGTTGTCTGCTTCTTTCAAATATATTTCTTCTGTTTCCTCAACTACCCACAGACTTAAAGATGTATCTTTGCATCACTTTTGATTCTGACTTGCTTAATACTGTTTTATCTCCTTTTGTGTCTAGCAGAAAAATGTGTTAAATCATACCAACTATATTTTGACAGGATTGTCCAATTTCTAACCAATAGGTTATTTTTCTTCTGCGGCTATTTTAGTTTAGTTTAGGATAGTTTTTGATAGCTAAGAAGTACATTTAATATTTCTGAGATATTCAGAAGCCACAAGGAATTGGACTATTGTGCTAAGTGAGTGGGATTTATTTTTCCTCTTTTTTCACATAGGAAGTTCTTAATTTTAAACAAGTGTTTGTAGGTCTTACACCAATGATTTGACTTAATTTATATCTCAAAATGATGAGAAATAGTGGTTCTAGAAACTGCAGAAAAGAAGTTTCAGGTGCATGTGGCCCTGAGTGTGTGCACCCCGTCTTACATCTATTTTAAGTATATGAAAATAGTCCATTCCTATCTGCTCATATTTTGTAGCCAATATTAACACCTGTTGCTGTAGAGCAAAGATGCTAATCCATTTGTTTGCTTCATATTTTTCATTCCTACTTCTTGTTTGGTTTTCAGATATAATGGTGGAAGAATTTATTGAGCATGGTCCCCTGGATGTCTTTTTGCGCAATAACAAAGGCCGGATAACAGTAGGCTGGAAATTCACTATTGCAACACAATTAGCTAGTGCCCTCAGTTACCTTGTAAGTCTGTTGGTTGGGATTTGCAGTGGGTGGGTCTCCTTGAAAAGTTTGGATGTCATTTTGGATTATCTCCATTCTCAGTTTGTATTGGAGTTATGCACAGTGGCCCAAATGGTAGAACTGTAGGATTCTTTTTCTTATACATATTTTTAATTACCAGCCCTTGAATTTGAACTCTTTGGAATTGTAATTTAGTACGGATATTGATCAGAAGTATTTTGGATTAGATTCTGAAAAGGTGCCTTATACCCCAATGATTCCAAGAAAAGACTCAACTGCTTTAAAGGTTGTAGACAACCACAAACCCACATCCATACACTTCAAAGCATCACCTTGAGGGACAGAATTGCAATACGATTTCCTGTGATTCTCAGTTTGAAGAACCAACAAGGAAACAATACCTATAGGGCAGGGTATATTCCTAGAGAAGAAGAGGAACAGCTAGTAAATAGGGTTTATATATTTTGGGACCCATTGTTTTGCCCATCTATTAAGTTCTGATAGAGTGGACCTTCTTCAGGTTCCATCCTTAAAGCAGTACCATCTGATGGGATTCATGTAGCATGAAAAAACTGAGAATGGAGATCATCCAAAATGACATCTGTTGGAACAGTACTTCGCCAGATGTTCAAGTTGTTCTAACCCTCCTACCTTTTAAACAATCCTTTAAAACCTGGATCCTTTCACAGGTGCTAAATAGTATGTGTCCTTGAGGTGGGTGGTGGATTTTATCAGTGTCTCCCACCCTGTTATTTTATTGTAGTGAGTTCTATTCTGCTCATAGTCTTAATGAGTTAAGTGGTTTATACATGTGATGAATAAATATTGTGTTTATAGGGAGTTTTGGTTAAGGAACAATAAATATGTTTTTTTGTTTATTGAATTTGTAAATTTTCTATTTAACAGCCCTCTTTTGAGAAAATTGAAGCACAATGCAAAAATGACTAGATTAGCTTGTACGGGAATGTAGAGATGGAAGTTCATTCTTCTTTTTTCAAAAGAGCAGAACTTTTTTTCCTGACACACATTAAATATAGTATGTCACAATCTACCATTGTGTTTGTTTATGTAGGAAGATAAAAACCTAGTACATGGCAATGTATGTGCCAAAAACATCCTGTTGGCCAGGAAAGGTTTGGAAGATGGCTTGCTGCCCTTCATTAAGCTCAGTGACCCAGGAGTCAGCTTCACTGTGCTTTCCCAAGAAGGTAAACTGTTAATATTTGGAAAGTAGTTTCCTCTTCACGTTTGTGGTCATTTGAGGTATATAGAGGTGATCAAGCTGAATGTATTATATTAGCAAGCTTGAATAGAAGGATTCTGTGAAAGCATATCAAATCAATCAGTATAAATTGCTTAAAATGTGTGCTTGTATGCATTTGGACCTCTTGGATGAAGGTTTTTTAATAGATGATCTTGTATTTGTAGTGATAGTAACTGCCTTATTCTATCAGAAACAAAGTTGACTCCAAATAGACCTTATGCTGCATTCCCAATCTTCTGCAAAGGCAGAATGTGCATTAGAAAAGTCTGTCCTGATATTCTCACAATTCCTTAAAAGCCTTTCAGGAACATTTTTAACACAACGTCTCATTCATGTTAGATTGTACTTTATAAATGTTTTCTAACTTGGCCTTCTTCCTACCATACTACATTATTTTTCTTTGGAAAAACATTCTTCTTATATGTACTGCTGAAACTGACATTCATTACCTTGGAAAATATAGGTGTAAATCCTACTTTGGCAAGAAGGCCCCCTCACTTTACCGTCCAAGTTATTCAGCCGATATTGTAAAGCAGAGATGGCAATCTCTGAGTTGCATTTTTGTGGCCCTCAAGATGATCTGTGGTCTGCATTGATGAGAGACTTTCCTATGATTTTGAAGTGGGGAATAGATAAAAATCACAGTTAAAGCCCTAAAATATACATATAATCATATATGTATTATAATTACCACCAAATATACTGTACATATAATTGAAAAACAAAGAAAACTACCAAATGCCAACTCAGAAACTTAGTTTCTCCACCCCCCTAATGTATAATGTGACCCCATTTTTTTATGGCCTTCAGTCTTCCAAAGAACATTAAGAATAGCCTTTGGACATCCAACTTGCTATAAAGTTTTATGAGTGCAAAGCTATTTTTTCTGCTGGTGAAATAATTCAGCAGACCCAACCCTTACTACAAGACAATATTTCCATATTTCAAAGTAGTGTGGATTATTTAAGGAGGGATACATTTGTTTGCTGGTTTTTTTAAAGGGGACTATACTTGTAGAAAATGAGGTTAAAACACTTGTTATGCCCACAATTTTAAGGGAAAAAATTATGTAGATCTCTATGTGTCATGCTCATATTACATGATAGCCTGCATGCCACTATCTGAATAAATATTTAATTTACCTTTCTTATCTTGACTCTAATCAATCTATTTACTAGATTTTGCGTAATTTCTGTTCTCTGTCCAGCAATTCCTAATCTTTGATTTTTTTCTCTGTAAAGAAAGGGTTGACCGGATCCCATGGATTGCTCCAGAGTGTATCAAAGATGTAAACAACCTTAGCACAGCAGCTGACAAATGGAGTTTTGGGACCACACTGCTGGAAATATGTTTTGATGCAGATGTGCCACTAAAAGAACGCACTCCTTCTGAGGTAGTGTCTTCCTCTGCTTTTCTTTTCATTATATTGCTGCAGACTTCAGGGTTGGTTTCTTATAGAAAAGGGTGGATCTAGTCCCACCTTAAGAATAATAACATCACTGAAAACTTTTTCCATAGGAATACTGGGCTGCTTTTTTATTAGTTTATAGTGATATTAGCATTTGTTTATAAATGCATAACTATATTATTGCATTAAATAATACATTCTGTGATAAGAATACATAAAGTATATTAACTGTGGAACTAATATGATTGGAAGCTAGAAAGATCTTTAGGCATAAACACGTTTTGACATGAAAATTATTTTTTAAAAATTATGCTTTAAACTCTAAAACATGCACATCACTGTTGAAAAATATACCATTTCATCTAGATATGCAGAAAAATCTACTTTATAAGTTTGGTGAAATTAAAGTGATTGAATAAAATATAGAAATATTTCACTGAGTTCCGCTTTACATATTTCCAAAAAAGGATGTAGAATTGCTGCTTTAATTATATTGTAGCTATTAGGTAGAAGTAAGAACAAGAAGAAATATGTTAATTAAAATTGTTGGGAAGCATTAACCTCAGATATGTTGATGATAGAACTTTGATGGCTGAAAGTGATGGATAACTTGAAGAATCTCTTGTAGATGAAAGAAGGAAGTGCACAAGCTGTAATAAAACAAATAAAAATCAAATCAGCAATAAATCCTAGCTTAATGCTAATAGCTGGAGAAGTTGAAGTACTAACAACTTTATCTTCTTAGACTCAAAAATTTATATGGATAGTCATGTAGCTATGAAACAAATATCTACTACTTTTGAGAAATATGATAGTGCTAGACAAAATCTGAAAGTGTAGGTACATCACTCAGATGTCACAGGTACATAGTGTCAAGGCTATGATTTTCTATGAAAACTTGACCATCAGAACACAGAAGAAATTGAATAATGGTGCTGGAGAAAAATATGGTGGATATATTATCTTGGACTGCAAAAGAACCATTTATTGAATGTTAGTCTACATACAGAAACACTGATAATAAAGCTAAAGCTTAAATATTTGGGGCACACAGGTGGGATTCAAATTTTTTAACAACTGGTTCTGTGGGCGTGGCTTGGTCATGCAACTGGCTGGGTGTGGCTAGGTGGTCATGTGACTGGGTGGGTCAAAAGAGAAACTCACTTTAACAATGTTCTTGGAGCAGGGGCTTGGACTAGATGACCTCCAAGGTCCTTTCCAGCCCTGGATTGCTGTGCTGTTTCAAAGCATCCTCTGAAGCTGCGTCTAGTGCCAGGGTTTGTGGTCCGTCCTTCCTCTCCTTTTTCCTTCCCACCCTCCCTCCCTCCTTCTATCCATCTGTCCATCCATCCATATCTCATTCACTTTCCCTTCCCTCTTTCTTCCTTCCCTCCCTCTTTGTTTCTCTTTCTTCCTTCCCTCCCTCTTTGTTTCTCTTTCTTTCTCCCCTCCCTTTTCTTTCTTTCTTCCTTCCCTCCCTCCCTCCCTCCCTCCCTCCCTCCCTCCCTCTCTCTCTTTCTTTCTTTCTTTCTTTCTTTCTTTCTTTCTTTCTTTCTTTCTTTCTTTCTTTCTTTCTTTCTCTATCTCTCTCTCTCTCTCTCTCTCTTTCTTTCTTTCTTTCTTTCTTTCTTTCTTTCTTTCTTTCTTTCTTTCTCTTTCTTTCTCCCTTCCCTCCCTTTCGTTCTCCCATCCATCTTTCTTTCTTTCTTTCTTTCTTTCTTTCTTTCTTTCTTTCTTTCTTTCTTTCTTTCTTTCTTTCTTTCTTTCTTTCTTTCCACCCACCCCCGCACCCGTTTTGGGCCTAGGAAGCCTCCCTGCACTTACCTGGGAGCCAGAACCTGGCGCATGGGGACTCCTGGGAGGGGCGAGTTGTGGCGGTCTTCAGAACTACCAGTTCGCCAAACTGAATGTAAGAATTAACATTTGGTTTGCCGGAACCAACTGAATCCCACCCCTGGGGGCACATAATGTAAAGATAAGAATCATTAAAGAAAAACCTGATGCTTGAAGAACTGAAGGCAATCACAAAAGAGCTGACAGAGGACAAAGTGGCTAGGCACAGTCATTGATGGCACAATCATGAATTTTGAAGAAATTTAAAAAGTTACTGATAGACCATCCTGGAGAAATTACTGTATGTTCATTGGCTCCTGAAAAGTCTGAAAGGGCAAAGTAACAATAACATAATTTGCACCCCATTTCCAGGTAAATTATTGGAATGGAATAGCTTCCTAAGGTATTTTTAAAATGTACTAACAGAAAGAAGAGGAGTGATAGAAATAGGAATCCAAGACTGGATACCAAGGAGATTTTTATGACTAACTTTAAAACCTAACTGTAATCATTAGGCTTCTAGTTCCCCTTTGAAATCTGTTTGGCATATAGTGAAGACCAGAAATAACTTATTACAAAAGAAATGTCAGTGGATTTTCTATGTTTAATCTAATTTCATTTCATCAGTCACAGACTTCTAATTTTTTTTCTGCAGAAAGAACGTTTTTATGAGAAGAAGCATCATCTTCCAGAGCCATCCTTCAAAGAACTAGCTACCCTAATCAGCCAGTGCCTAAACTATGCTCCTGGAGAGCGACCCTCTTTCCGGACTATCTTACGAGACCTCACTCAACTGCAGCCACATAGTAAAAATCCCAAAGAACTCTTGGATAACAGCATTTTGTTAGCCATATGACAGCAACCTTTCTGCATGCCAGGTTTATGCTAAAATAATGGGATCCATTGAGCTCATGACAATGGATTCCCAGAGGAGTTGTACTCCAACTTGTGGGGGTGATTTTTGAAAAAGGAAAATTAGGTGTATTATGGTTAGCAGTAACAGTGTATGTTTTTGTTCATTTAAACAAAATTACAAACATGTCACTGAATACTGACAGCATGGTGGGTAGATGCTCCAAAGGTTGCAAAAAATGAGAGCAATCTCTGTCTTGTGTAACATAATGGTATTCTCTCACTCCCTTTTGTGGATACAAGAGGACAACTGTAAAGCAGGCTCAATTAAGATGCTATGAAGATAAGCAGACATTCAATTTGTGGCCTGATTACAACTGCTTAAATTGCAATACCAGCGAGAGAGAAAATAAACATTAGCCCTAACAATAAAAACTAGAAGAAAGAGATTGTACAATGTTTAGTCTAATCTAGAAATTTGTTTGGCTCAGAGAGAATAGAAAATTATGAAATAGAATTAGAAATTAGAAAATTAGAAAAATCCTTCAGTACTAAACTCCACTAAAAGCCTCTTCTGATCTGTATGCTGTAGGCTTCCTGAGAGTGCTTTGTAAGTTTCTTTCCTTCTAGCCATTGTATATCCGCTACATCTTTCTTCTTGTTTTCCAGATCCTCTTGACATTAGCTCTGTGAATCCTGCGTTCCCTGTATCAGATCCTACTGTCTTTCAGAAGCGCTACCTGAAAAAGATTCGAGATCTGGGTGAGGTAAATTGCCTTTGTTAGGAATAACAACTTATTTTCTTCCTCCATTCTTAAAAAGTAAGAGCTTAATACTATTTTGTCTAGTTCAGTTCAATGAAATTCAGTTGTGTAGATCTCAGACCTATGAACTTTGCATACAATGGGTCAGATTGTATTTTACATTATGTGTGTGCAGATAATGCCATAGTATACAAAATAATGTAGTTGTGAATGCTCCAAATTATATCATTTGCATCCATTTTTCCCATTTATGTAATGATAGCAATAGCACTTAGACTTATATACTGCTTCATAAAAATGCTTTATAGCCCTCTCTAAGCAGTTTTACAGAGTCAGCATATTGCCCTCAACAATCTGGGTTTTCATACTAGTGTCTGGGTCCTTACATTAGTATCATTACACTAATGAAACAAAGATGTAATTGGTGCCATTTGTATTATCACAATTCTATATCCTCTGCTTTATTGATTTCTGAAGCATAATAGACACTTCCCACCAACAGTTAATCTGTTAAAGTGAGGTTTTACTATGATTATACATTATAGAGCTCAATGAAAGGTTCATTGGTTATGAAACAGATCTATAGTTCATAAACCTGCAACAAATCCTGGCTTTTGTTTTTTTATTTGTTAATTATGACACATAATTTTATTATTTACTTATCATGCCAAATTATAGTTTCCAAAATTATCAACCTGTGTTGAGTTAAATATGAAACTATATTTTCATTTTTAACAAGTCATGTGCAACATATCCATTCAACACATCCAATTGGCTTCAATTCAATATTTGCTCCATGGTTTTGCCAATTTCAAATAATGATCTTACTTTGCTGATTGAGCCTATTTTGCTTATGTATCAGCCACATGAACTGTGAAATAGGATCACAAACAGAGATTAACTTCAGTCATAGAAAGATTCAGTAATGGAGAAAAAGAAATATTATTTAGACTTGATTGTGAAAGTGAGTGTTTTCTTTTCACAGCATAACAACAACTGAGTGAAATATTGACTTGTATGTAGCAAGGGATTGTTCTGAGATGATTAAGATTAGTTCCTTCCAAAAGCTGTTCTGTACATTGTGACAGTTACAGCAAATGTTCCCAGAAAATATAGTTTGGCATTTGTCTTTTGAAATTCAAAATCCTTACCTTGTTTCTTTCTCCCTCTCATTCTATTAGGGGCACTTTGGTAAAGTGAGCCTGTATTGTTATGATCCTGCCAATGATGGCACTGGTGAGATGGTAGCAGTGAAGTCATTGAAATCAGGTTGCAGCCAGCAGCTCTTGACTAGTTGGAAAAAGGAGATTGAGATCTTGAAGACACTCTACCATGAGAATATTGTAAAATACAAAGGCTGCTGCAGCGAGCAAGGTATGGAATCTGTTGAGTAGCTCCTGCAGGAGCAAGATGGTGGATAGCTTAGCATAAGCATGCTACTTACAGAACTTGTCCCAAGAGCTCCCAGTTTGTATCCTGGCTTCATCATAGGCATGATTTTTGAAATAGCCCCTATAATTTTAACTTGCATATTGGGCAACATTTTTAGGTTGCATTCCCATATGAGCAGACAATATATCCTGTACATGCAGACTACACTTTCTGCCCATTTATTCAACCATTTTTTTTTCACCCTTACACTTTCTCCTTCAACCAGTCCATTCCATTGTTTCTTCTCTACTAATAGCTACCAGTAGATCATCTTGAAGACAAATATCTCAGAAATACAATTACTAAATCTGCCAAATTATTATAGATTCTCTGGAGTGTCAGGTATATTGGTAGCAAGACAAAAGCCTTCATGTGGCAACAGAAAGTATGCAGAATCAGCAGGGGCGGGGGGGGGGAATGAATATTGCAAGTAGGCCTGATGAACTGCCCAAAAGATACTGACGATCAAAAGTGGTCTGCAGGGTTTAAACCAGGTGTTTTAAAGATAAAAAAAATTAGGGGAAGCAATTATATTTTTTTAGCTAATATTTCTTGCATTTTTCAATTCCAGGAGAAAGAATTGTACAGCTTATCATGGAATATGTGCCACTGGGAAGTCTGAGGGATTATCTTCCCAAGCACAATGTCAGCTTGGCCCACATTCTCCTCTTTGCTCAACAGATTTGTGAGGTAAAGTCTTGTCAGTGTTGGATACAACATTTGTGTGGTTCTCAACTGAGGGAATGCCTTTTTCGTGGATCATAGTTCCAATAGATAAAGCAAAATGAATTGTTTACATAATTGTTCCTTAATGCTGGGATTTTTTTTTATTTTTATAAAAGGAATAGGATACATGAAATTCAGGATTGCCAGTTCTGACTTTGGGTATATACATAGCTACTGATTGATTTGGAATCTGATTGAAGAATGTAAGGTGGCTCTATTTTCTCTGCAGGGAATGGCTTATCTCCACTCCTTGCACTATATCCATAGAGACCTAGCAGCTAGAAATGTGCTCCTAGAGAATGAGAATGTAGTAAAGATTGGAGACTTTGGTCTTGCCAAAGCCATCCCTGAAGGACATGAATATTATCGTGTCTGTGAAGATGGAGACAGCCCCGTTTTCTGGTATGTAAACAATTGCACTATTTTATGGATTTTTGATACTTGAAAGAACTGACTGCACTATAACTCATTCATACAGGCATTATATCTGTGGAAAGCAAGATCTTAATCATAATCATGGAGAAAAGGTAGTAGTCTTAAAACAGTATTTACCTGTCTAAGTGCTCAGAGGAAAAAGGTAAAATCTAAAATGAAGATTTCAAACAATTTAGTGTGGTTTAATTCTGATATTCTTTTGTGGAAGTTGGAGGGGATAACATTCCCAACTTTCCTGGAAGCAGTCGACTATTGTACCTTGTTTTCAATAATTAGAGTGAATGATGATAACTGCATGCTTTTATATAGAAGAGTGCTTTGGAAAAGAAGGTTTGCAATCTTACAGTATCTTAAAAATGAGTTGCAAATGCCTCATTTGGCAATTTTCAAAGCCATTTGACTGCTATTCAAAGGAGTAGTCTTTTACAGCAAAGGACTACTGTAAAAGGAGCTAGATGAACTTCACTCTAATTAAGATGTAGTTTGTCAGCTCTTTATTGCTATTTATATAGGTATGCTGTGGAATGCCTTAAGGAATGTAAATTCTATTATGCTTCTGATGTCTGGTCCTTTGGAGTGACTTTATATGAACTGTTGACACGGTGTGATTCAAGTCAGAGCCCTCCACAAGTGAGTAAAAGTAATATCCATAACATTTATTTAGCAGCAACAAGCCACAGCGGCTATGAAGAATCTTTGTAGGAATTGGGTATGTCTAGTTTAATGACAAGAAGGACTAGGATGATATGACAGCAGTGTTCCAATATCTCAGGGGCTGCCACAAAGAAGAGGGAGTCAGGCTATTCTCCAAAGCACCTGAAGGCAGGACAAGAAGCCATGGGCGGAAACTAATCAAGGAGAGAAGCAACCTAGAACTTAGGAGAAATTTCCTGACAGTTAGAACAATTAATCAATGGAACGACTTGTCTCCAGAAGTTGTGGGCACTCCAATACTGGAAGTTTTTAAGAAGAGATTGGACAAATATTTGTCTGAAATAGTATAGGGGTTCCTATATGAGCAAGGAGTTGGACTAGAAGACCACCAAGCTCCCTTCCAACTCAATTATTCTGATTCACTTTATTGTAGCCCTAGGACCATCTCAAAACATTCAGTATAGCTGTTGCTTGAATGCATTTAGGTGACTTAGCATAGACAGCATAGTGCCCATGTTCTCTGCCTCCTTCCTGGATACCCATAAGCTCCTTCGGATTAAAAAAAAGAATTAAAAAATAAAGCAAAGCATTGGATTCTAGCATTATATTTAACAGTGGTATCTTTAAACCTTATTGGAATTGTAGATAACATTTTGAGAGCTTAATAGGTTTCTGGTAATTGGATGTTTGTACCTGGGTAGGCTGCTCCAGTAGCCATTTTATAAATGCACCCACCACATGCATTCAAAATTCTATATACTGTATATTCCTGACCCCCAAAAGTTGCTTATTACTATGTCTGTACTTCAGAGGACTGTCTGTGCCATTTTGATTGTAGTTTTCTTATCTAGGATGTTGGTTAGATTTAGTTAACTTTAGTTGAATCAGAATAGAGCTGGAAAAGACCTTGGAGGTCTTCTAGTCCACCCGCCTGCTCAAGCAGGAAGCCCTATACCATTTCAGACAAGTGACGGTCCAATTTAAGACTGTCTTCTTAAACACCTCCCGTGATGGAGCATCCACAACTTCTGAAGGCAAGCTGTTCCACTGGTTAATTGTCCTCGCTGTTGGAAGTTTCTCTTTCATTTCAAGTTGCTTCTCTCCTTAATTAGTTTCCATCCATTGTTTCTTGTCCTGCCCTCTAGTGCGTTGGAAAATAAATTGACCCTCTCCTCTTTGTGGCAGCCCCTCAAATACAGGAATGCTGCTATCATGTCGCCCCTAGTCCTTCTTTTCTCTAGACTAGCCAAACCCAAATCCTGCAGCCTTTCTTCATGTGTTAGTTTCCAGGCCTTTAATCGTCTTACTTGCTCTTCTTTGTACTTTTTCAAAGTCTTAACATCTGTTTTGTAATGTGATAACCAAAATTGGTTGCAGTATTCTAGGTGTGGCCTTACTAAAGGCTAAAGTGGTAGTAATACTTCACATGATTTTGATTTTATGCCTCTGTATACAACCAAGACTTATATTAGCATTTTTGGCTGCTGCTGCACATTGCTGGATCCTGTTTAAGTGATTGTCCACTAGGACTCCAAAGTCCCTCTCACAGTTACTGTTTTTGAGCCAGGTTTTGCCTAATCTATACTTGTACCTTTGGTTTTTCCTGCCCAAGTGTAAAACCTTGCTTTTCACCACATTCAATTTCATTTTGTTGGATAGGGCCCATTGTCCAAGTCTGTCAGGATGTTTTTGGATCCTGAACTTGTCCTATGGGGTATTGGCTATTCCTTGCCAGTGTAGTATCATCTGCAAATTTGATGAGTTCTCCTTCTATTCCCTCATCAAAATCATTTATGAAGATACTGAACAGTACTGGGCCTAAGATGGAACCTTGTGGTACCTCACTGCTTACTTTCCTCCATGTATATGTAGTACCATTAAGGACTACCTGTTGTGTTGACCATGTTGACTACTTATTGAGTTATAGTCTGTTACCTAGGGATGTTGAAGTCCATGCTGGCCTAGGGACTAATGGCATCACACAATGCTTTTGCATATATTGTTCAGTTATCATGATTTACAGGAATGGTGTAGCATGATGCAATATTATTTTAGTATGTTTTCAGATCCTTCTGACTGACTGAATGCACCATCATTCAGTATGTTTAGAATATAATTATTTTTCTGAAATGATTTTTCTCAAACATCTGTTGCCTCTGAGATAAAAATGTGTACAGGTTCATTGTAAAGTTTTTTGAAGAAAGGATCTTTTGGCATGAGCCATCTTCATGTTACCTAATGAAAACACTGACTGATTTTCCCGTATTGCTTTAGAGATTTATTGAAATGATTGGAATGACTCAGGGTCAAATGACAGTGCTGCGGCTTATTGAGTTGCTGGACAGAGGGGAAAGGCTGCCCAGTCCAAAAGACTGCCCTTGTGAGGTGAGTCTGTGCTCCTTTGCCTTTGATTGTCTTTTTGTTGTAGAAATTGTAGCCTGGGGATCTTGACATTTTGCTGCATCCAGAGCTCCCAAACAAAATTAAGATAACTATGTTGCTCATCTTTGTAGTATCTCCTAAAGGTATAGAAAACAGTATATTATTGAAAATTATGGAATCAAGGATTTACTCTCAAGACATTTCCCATTCTAAGCTTAAATAGTCAAAAGAGCCAACAGTAAGTAATGCAAGTTCATGTCTGATAGCTAGATATCAGAATTGTTAATTAATATTTAAATGGATAAAGGATGAGTTGCTAATGCCAGGGATACATTTTAGAAGATAATGATATATAGTAGTAAGCAAAGGAAAAGTTTGTGATACATTAGAAGCACATTATAAGTATTCTATAAATACCCTTGCTACAATCTTTTTAGTTTCCACAAGTAATGCTGCATTACTTACTGTGCAATTCTGTACCCACCTACTTAGAAATCTCATAATTCAGTGGGTCTTAATCTCAGGTAAATGGTATTGCATTCTATTCTTAAATTCATATTTCTTCACAAATATTAGGGCATAAATTTTCCAATTATTTATAATATTAGCCAATGTCTGAACATATTCTCACTCCTTCAGATAGTTTACTGTAATTTGAGGATGCTTCCTGATATAAATTAAAATAATTCCTAAGGGTTAAAGCTTTCAAGTTAAATATATCTCAATTTACTATAAACAAGTGTGTAAATATATAGGCACAGCTACATTAGGTTTGATTAGAAAGCATAGTCTTTGTATTCCAGAGCAGTTAATGCTGCAAATAATCTGATTTGGAAGTTTAAGAAATATCAAATATCTCTCAGTGATTACTAATGTACCCATTAGTGGTGGTTTTTAGAGCAGAAACTGCAGAACAGTGTAACTGTGAGAGTGTCTCCACTGTCACGTGTTGATCTGTGATTTTCCTTTTTTCCAGCTAGCTTGGAATCTAGAAAACAAGTTGATGGGAGGGGAGCTGGTTAGGTTTACCAATAGAGCAATGCCACATAAATATTGCCTTACCTTTCCTTTCCTTTCCTTTCCTTTCCTTTCCTTTCCTTTCCTTTCTTTTCCTCTCTCTCTTTCTTTTTGTGCTTTTTTGTTTTCTAAATCTGTGCCTTTTCCCACAGATTTATCGACTGATGAAAAACTGTTGGGAATCTGAAGCTTCATTCCGTCCAGCCTTTACAAACCTAGTGCCCATTCTCAAAGCCTTCCATGAAAAGTACAAGACCCAGGCCCCTTCAGTTTTCAGTGTGTGTTGATGAGAATGAAGAGATTTTGTACCAAAGACCAAAGTCTTATTTGCACTCTATGTCCTAGTGCTTACATGTCTGGAAAGCCACAGTGCCATGAAAGTTGCTTCCAAGTGACAGTGATCTTGGATTCTGACTTTTTCTGTTCTGCGCAGTGTCCCTGCATTGTCTGAATTTTTTTTGCACTTATCAAATGTGATGGGGCATCAGGAAAAGCCCATCCAAGTTCTTTGTCTAACTGAAAGGCAGAAGCTGCTTGAGAAACTTTGCCCTTTGTTACATCCAGCTGGGATGCAAGTCATTTGCAAAGTCTCATTATGAGATTTTCTGGTATAGGAAAAGAAGTTGGTATCTAATTCATTTAATGGACTCTTGGGCTTATGATCCGATGCAGAGTATGAATCAGTAATTCAAGGAACCCTGAAAATGGAATGCAATATTTTGACTTGCTATTTGAAAAACCTGTTGTATCACATAGAACTGCTTACCAAACACAATGAAAGGCATCTGGCCTTTATTTGCAGCATCTTTACAAGGAAATACATTTTTCTAACGTGGCATTTATTCCTCAGTCACTCTTTTTACATCTCTTTATCACCTATAGCATAGCATTATTTGCACATCTGCTTGTTAAGGGTCATTCATCTGCCTATGTGAAGTCAGAAGCACCCATAGTTGACTCAATGCTGGAGAAGTAAATATCTGATAATGTATGTTTCCAGAGATTTTTGTTCCCAAAGAGCAATCCTTACTGTCTCCCAGATGGATGAATCAAGAATCTTTAAAAAAAAATGATATAAAACAATTGTATCTTTTTGGGGGCTGAAAACCATTTCCCAAACCATTAGTGGTTTGAAATAACCAATCCCCTGATGTTTGTCAATCAAAAACTTTGAATTTAAAGGGAGGTGGAAAGAAACTATAGGCCTTAAAAATATTGAAAATGAAGACAAGAAATGCCTTTTGGTCACTAACTAGTTGCTACCTTTTGACATGTAAGCTTTATGTAGCAAAATAAAGGTGGCCTGAGCTGGTAATCCCAAATCCTGGGAAAAAAAACTAGCTGCCATATAACCTCAGAACAATTGTGATTTCTTTTCCCTGTTGTTCTATAATTTTGCTTCCTAAGTAATTGAAACAATTGTTTTCATTGTGGATCTTCAGGTTGCTCTCCCCAAATTATCTTTCAAATGAAGTTTGTCTTTCATTGATGTGTATCAGAATTTGTTGGGAGTGAAACTGCAGGCTCTAGGTCAGTGGTATTAAACTGGCGGCCTGTGGGCCGGATATGTCACACACAGCTATGCCCACCCCAGCTCCATGAAGGGGAAAAATGTTGAGAAATGTCACATGATGGAAACATGATCTGGCGAGTTTGACACCCTGCTCTAGATGATACAAATCTTGATGCATTGCAGTCAATACACTCAATGCTTTTAGTACTGATTTATTACTAACATGTATTTATGGTTTCCTGGCTTTTTCTAAGTGGGGGTTGATTTTTGCCATGTTTTATCAATCTGAGATTGTGGAACATTGATGAGCCTGTATCACCTGTATCACTTTAGAGCAGTCTTGTTGCCTTATAAGAGAGATTCTAGTTATAGTCACATTGACTTCCATACAGCTCTTCATTTCTAAAGAATGTCATATTTATGTGTAATGTAGTATTTATGTGGTTATAACAAGCAGGGTACTGGGATACAATCCTCAAAATGACTGATTTCAGTTTGAATCCATTCAACATCACAGTAATCCAAGTCTATGCCTCAACCACTGGTGCTGAAAAGGATGAAGTTGACCAGTTCTATGAAGCCCTACAACACCTTCTAGAATTAACACTAAAAAATGATGTCCTTATCATCATGGAGGCTTGGAATGCTAAAGAAGGAAACCAAAAGATAACTGGAATAACAGGCAAGTTTGGCCTTGAGTACAAAATGAAGCCAGGCACAGGCTGGTAGAATTCTATCAAGAGAATATGAATAATCATAGCAAACACTCTTTTCCAACAACCTAAGAGATGACTTTATACATGGACATTACCAGACAGTCAACACAGAAATCGGATTGACTATGTGCTCTCCAGCCAAAGATGGAGAAGTTCTATACAGTCAGTAAAAACAAGGCCAGGAGCTGACTGGCTCAGATCTGAGCTTCTCACCGCAAAATTTAGGCTTAAATTGAAGAAAATAGGGAAAAGCACTAGGCCACACAGGTATGAACCCTGATGAATATCCTTGATGAATATACAGTAGAGGTGACAAATAAGGAATTAGATATGATAGACAGAGTGTCTGAAGAACTAGGGACGGAGGTTCGCAACATTGTACAAGAGGTAGCAACTAAAATCATCCCAAAGAAAAAGAAATGCAAGAAAGCAAAATGGCTGTCTGAGGAAGCTTTACAAACAGCTGAGGAAAGAAGGGAAGCAAAAGGCAAGGGAGAAAGAGAAAGATACACCCAATTGAATGCAGAATTTCAGAGAATAGCTAGAAGAGATAAGAATGCCTTCTTAAATGAACAGTGCAAAGAAATAGGAGAAAACAATAGAATAGGGAGGACCAGAGATCTCTTCTAGAAAATTGGAGATATGAAGGGAACATTTCATGCAGAGATGGGCATGATAAAGGACCAAAATGGCAGGGATCTAACAGAGGCAGAAGAGATTAAGAAGAGGTGGCAAAATTACACAGAAGAACTATACAAGAATGAGCTTAAACATCCCTGATAACCATGATGGGGTGGTCACTGATTTTGAGCCAGACATCCTGAAATGTGAACTCAGGTGGGCCTTAGGAAATCTGAGCAACAACAAAGTTAGTAGAGGTGACAGTATTCCCACTGAGCTATTCAAAATCTTAAAAGATGATGCAGTAAAAGTGCTACACTCAATTTGCCAGTAAATTTGGAAAATGGCACAGGATTGGAAAAGGTCAGTTTACATTCCAATTCCAAAGAAGGGCAATGCCAAAGAATGTTCAAACTATCACACCATTGCACTCATTTCACATGCTAGCAAAGTTATGCTCAAAACCCTACAAGCTAGGCTCCAATAGCATGTGGACTGAGAACTATCAGAAGTATAGGCAGGATTTCAAAGAGGCAGAGGAACTAGAGATCAAATTGCCAACATATGCTGGACCATGGAGAAAGCTAGGGAGTTCCAGAAAATCATCTACTTCTGTTTCATTCACTATGCTAAAGCGTTTGATTGTGTGGATCACAAGAAATTGTGGCAAGTTCTTAAAGAGATGGGGGTACCAGACCATCTTATTTGTCTCTTGAGAAACCTATATGCGGGTCAAGAAGCAACAGTGAGAACTGGACACGGAACCATTGATTGGTTCAAAATTGAGAAAGGAGTTCGGCAAGACTGTATAATGTTGCCCTGCTGTTTAATTTATATGCAGAGCACATCATGAGAAAGGTAGGGCTAGATGAATCACAAATTGGAATTAAGATTGCCAGGAGAAATATCAACAACTTCAGATATACAGATGATATCACTCTAATGGCAGAAAGTGAAGAGGAACTAAAGAGCCTCTAGTTGTGGGTGAAGAAGGAAAGTGAAAAAGTTGGCTTGAAACTCAACATTAAGAAAATTAAGATCATGGCTTCCGGCCCTCTCAATTCCTGGCAAATAGATGTGGAACAAATGAAGGTAGTGACAGATTTTATTTTACAGGGCTCCAAGATCACCGCAGATGGGGACTGCAACCAAGAAATTAAAAGATGCTCCTGGGGAGGAAAGCTATGGCAAATCTAGACAGCATACTACAAAGCAGGGACATTATCCTGCCAACAAAAGTGCGTATAGTCAAGGCTATGCTTTTCCCAGTTCCAATGTATGGATGTGAAAGTTGGACAATAAGGAAGGCTAAGCATCAAAGAATTGATGTCTTTGAACTATGGTGCTGGAGAAGACTCCTGGACTGCAAGGTAATCAAACCCATCAGTCCTAGAGGAGATGACCCTGACTGTTCTTTAGAAGGCCAGATCCTGAAGATGAAACTCAAATACTTTGGCCACCTAATGAGAAGCAAGAACTCACTGGAGAAGAGCCTAATGCTGGGAACAATTGAGGGCAAAAGAAGAAGGGGACAACAGGAATGAGATGGCTGGATGGGGTCCCTGAAGCAGTCGGCTTGAGCTTAAATGGACTTGGGGGATGGTAGAGGATAGGAAGGCCTGGGGGAACATTGTTCATGGGGTTGTGATGGGTCGGACACAACTTTGTGACCAACAACAACAAGCAAGCAAGGTGATGTAAAACAAACAGTTTATTAGCTTTGCCATACCAGCAAGTGTCTTTGAGGTATGAATATTTGAGGTGACTGCTTATTCTTCAACATTCAATCACCATTCTGCTTTTTTAAAATTAGAAGCAATCACTTTCAGATTGCCATTTGATTTGAAGTATACCATCAAGAAAGTGATGAAGAGAAAAGGTATAGATAGGATTCCTGGAAGTTATTGCTCATTTTTGCCCAGAAGGGGTGTTGGTCCTACCTGACATGCCTCTTCTTGGGGAGCTGAAGGGAGAATCCAGGATGTGTAGTCTCTAGTCTCATAGCTCTGCAGACCAAGTTGAAAAACTGAGGACACCCCCACCTTAACGGTCCCCAGTTCTGAACGATGTTGAAGCGAATTCAGCTGCTCATTGTCTTCTGAAAAATAGTCTACTTGATGATACAAAAAAACAACAACAACATTTTCTCCTTATGCTGACCAGGCAGAATACAGGGTGGGACTGGATTTTCCCTTCAGCTCCCCGAGAAGAGGTGTGTCAGGTAGGACCAACGCCCCTTCTCCACTGAGCCAAAGGGAGAATCCAGGATGGGACATACCAAAGCTGGCTGATGGTTGTCCTACTGATGGGAACTGGACTGGTCGGAGGTCCCCAGCTCTACATGAATGCCCTGCAGGACTCATCTTCCAAAAGACACCTCTGCCGAGGCAAAGGAGTCAATTCTATAATGTCTTATGAATGGGGTCACAGAGGACCACGTTGCTGCTCTACAAATGTCTAGAACCAATGCCTGCATTGCCCAGGCTGCAGTGGTCACCACACTCTTGGTTGAGTGCGAGGTGGTTCTCCTGGGCATAGGAAGAGCCTGTAACTCATAGGCTTTAGCAATACAGGCTCTGAGCCAGCGTCCCACGGTGGAAGGTGTCACCCTGTGGCCCAAAGTTTGATATCTGAAAGGAAATGAACAGGGCTTCAGTCTTTCTAAAGGAAGAGGTTCATTTGATGTAAATACAGAGGGCCCTCCTAATGTCCAAGGTGTGCCATTTTCTTTCCAGTGCATGGGTAGGCCCTGGACAGAAGTCAGGCAAAATCAACTCCTGTGAACGATGGAATAAGGAGTTCACTTTGGGCAGAAAGGTAGGGTCCAGCCGCAGAACCATTCTGTCTGCATGAAAAACGCAAAGGTCCTTTCTGATGGATAAGGCCGCCAACTCTGAGATACGCCTGGCCGAAGTAATGGCCACTAAGAATGACACCTTGCACGTGAGTAGACAAAGGCTGACTTCACACAAAGGTTCAAATGGAGGAGCAGTCAGTGCCTGCAGGACCTTAGGTAAGTCCCAGGTGGGGTAACGGTGGACCATCGGTAGCTTCAAATTCGTGGCTCCCCTAAGGAAGGCTTTCACCCTAGGGTGTTGGGCCAGAGTGGTTGAGTCCTTGAATGAAAGCACTGAGGCGAAAGCGGCCACCTGTCTCTTCAAGGTATTGGAGGCAAGGCCTCTGTCCAAACTGTCCTGCTGGAAACCGTGCAAAGAACCTTGGGAGATGCGAGTTCTCTGGAGATGCAAAGAGGTCCAGAATCGGACGGCCGAACCGTTCCATCATCTCCTGGAACAGACTAGGATGCAGTTGCCATTCCAACTGGTCGATCGTGGCCCTGCTCAACCAGTCTGCCTGCATGTTGGAAACTCCCAAGATGTGTTCTGCTCTTAGGGACAACAGGTGTCTCTCCGCCCACCTGCACAATGGAGTTGCCTCCTGCATCAGGGTTCTGGAGCGAGTGCCCCCCTGGTGATTTATGTGGGCCTTGATGGCCATATTGTCCATGAGGAAAAGTACATGTCTCCCCACCACATCCTACCTTAGATCCTTGAGAGCTAAGTGGGCAGCCCTGAGCTCTAGCCAATTTATGTTGTGGATGAGCTCCTCCCATGACCACCTCCCCTGGGTAACCTGGACTCCCAGGTGGGGCCCCCAACTGTACAGACTGGCGTCGGTGATGATGGTAATCCTCTGGGGCTCTCTGTACAAACATCCCTGATCAATGGCCCGGGACTGCCACTAATGGAGAGAGCAAAGAACCAGCAAGGGGATAAGAATCCTCTTTGCTGAGTTGCCCCTGCCCACCCTCTGATAGAGGAGCAGGAACCACTGCAGGGTTCAGGCATGGAAGCGGGCTCATGGGATGATGCTGATACACGATAT